ACTCCTACTGTATGCAATGACAGTTTCTCTGTTAGTGACGGGAAAGACCCCCCAAAAATATTGTAATGTTTTTAAAAACTGGAACTGGAGTCCTCAGAAATGGTTTGTAAACAACAAACTATCTTTACACCTAGGGGGAAACTGAACCATTCTCTTTGGAACGAAACATAACGAGAAGGGGAAATAATTTTAATGTTCAGTGAATGGGGAGTCCACACTTTGGTTTCATCAGTTAAATATCTGGGAATCCCCTTTGAACCATGCATGTCAGGGGAAAGATAGGGAACAGTGAAATAAAGAAAGCGAAAGCCGGCTGAAATTCCCGTATAACAAGCCAGTGTCTACCCATGGGCTCGAGGGCCCATGTCTACCCTTATAAAAGCCAATGGGTTTCGCTTGCTCTTCTTTGGTACTTGCTTGACAAAAAAAAGAAAGATAGCGCAAAACCCCGAACAAAATCGAAGATTTCCTGGGGTGGGGCCAAAAGAAATGTAGGCAGGTTAATTACAGCATTGGGTAGCTGAATGTTGAAACAGATAAAAAAATGAACTAAATCATTTTATAAAATTGCTACGAACAGTGTCCAAATATCTTGCTGTCAATTTTGTCAAGGTTGGGAACAAAGCAAACATAGTTTCTAGGGGGGGAGAGAGCACAACTTTGTTTCCCACTCATGGCCAGCTTCAAACACCTTTTTTTTTCCAATAAAGGAAAGGAACGAACCCAAAATTCAGGCCATATAGCTTGAACCCGTTCAAGGACTGCCAAAAAGTGTCTGATGAAAGAAGCAACAGAAAGGGAGGGAATATTTTTTTATTTTTTTTTGCTAAAATACGTGTAAAATTTTTCCTTTTTCCCAGTAATGACCCTGTATTGGGAATGTGTTTTAAAAGACCCTCGGGGAGTAATAGTCTTAAAGACCTCATTGTTAAATCTTTAAAGACCCTCAGTAGTAGATAGTCTTTTTTTTAGTAATAAGAAAAGTTATCTTCATTTTAGAATAATAAAAAAATATTTTTAACCCTTTTTTTTTAAAAAAGTAAAAACCCCAAAGGGAAAAAAGTCACCTGTTGACTTTTTTGGGTTATCCTAGGGTTTTCTACCAAATTTCGCTATGTAAAATTCTATGAACTGTATTGTGATACCTGAATAAATTTACTTACTTACTTCTTAATCATCACCAATCTTCAATAAAGGCAAGTGTCATTATTCTATTCTTGTAGAGTTAAATTTTGCTGTCTTTTATTTGTGTGTATTACCCTTTGACTGTCGCAACCCCCAATCCTGATGTCTCGGTGTGCAAATTTTTTAAAAAAAAAAAAATTTTTTTTCTTATGAAATGATAAAGAATCTTTTCCTGATTGCAATGCACCAAAAAAAAAAAAATTTGATGGAAAACTGACGGAAATTTCGCTCTCGCGAAGTTAGCGCCTTGGCGCTGTTTACAAATCGGCGATTTCGCCCCCCTTTGAGCCCCCATTTTTCCCCCCTAAATTCCTTGTTCCAATCGTCCAAACTCATAGCTGTTTTTTTTTGAACTCCATTTTTTTATCGTTGAGTAAAAAAAAGCCCCCTTTACCCATTTCAACAACCCCAATAATTGGTCAAAATTTGCAATTTGGCCCAAATTTAAAAAAAAAAAAAAAAAATGACAATTTCAAAAAAAAAGGGCCAAAGAACAATTTCAGACATTCCGGCTCTAAAAATAAAATTTTCTTTGTTTTTTCATCTTCTCCAGGCCCCCCTGATATTACTCTTGTTTCTATTTTTGAATTTTTATTCAAACAAAAAAAAGATTTCTATTTTGCAAATACTGCAATACTGTAATAATTGTATAAAAAACTCAAACCTTTGACTCAAATTAGAAATGGGTAGTTGGGCATTTTTTGGACATGGCTCATTTGTTTACTTTTTAAAAATTGGCAAAAAACAAAAAATTTCCCTATATGAGCTCCATTTCTAGGTTTTTTTATAGTAAAATCAATGAAAATCACCTCTATTTCTATAATATGTTTTCCATTCTATCAAATGAGACCAAGAAAACGAGAATACAACCATAAGTACTATACGAAAATAGACCACAAAGTCGGCATTTTAATTAAAAAAAAACGGTCGGAGTTTTTTTTTTCCATTATGCACTGCGTGCTCCAGGATTTTTTTTATATGGTGCACACTGACCACACAGACCCATTCTCTCACATGTGGGCCTACCAGCTTTCTCCTGCTTGATTTGAAGCCGCTAGAATTTATGAGTATATATACGTCAAACACGGTACCTCGTAAGACGTATATATACGGCCGCGGCAGTCAAAGGGTTAAAATTAATATTTCATGTGGTAAAAAAATTTCTTTTTCATACTTTGGGGTGTCAGGAACGGATTAATTTGATTTCCATTATTTCTTATGGGGAAAATTAATTCGGCTAACGATAATTTCGGTTTACAACGAGCTCTCAGGAACGGATTAATATTGTAAGGCGGGGGTCCATTGTATATTATCATGTATATGTATCTCTTTTGCCTGCATTCCAGGGAATACAAATCAAGGGACTTCAACCGTTCCCAGTAATTTAAGTGCTTTATCATACTTATGTGTGCCGTGAAAGTTCTTTGTACACTCTCCAGGTCAGCAATTTTTGCCGGCCTTGAAGTGGAACAGTTAGTGTACAGCAGTATTCCAGCCTAGAGAGAACAAGTGATTTGAAGAAAATCATTGTCTTGGTGTCTCAAGTTCTGAAGGTTCTCATTATCCATCCTATCATTTCTCTTGTAGATGCAGTAGATACATTATTGTGGTCTTTGAAGGTGATATCCTCTGACATGATCACTCCTAGGTCCTTCACATTATGTTTTTTGCCCTACTGTATGGTTAGAATTTGTTGTATTACCTGATAGTTTTAATTACCTCAAGTTTTCCATAACTGAGTAGTTGAAATTTCACTTCATAGAACTTCATATTGCTTTGAGTGGCCCATTTGAAGATCTGGTTGATGTCCACTTGGAGTCTTGCAGCGTCTTCGAAGGAGGACACTATCATGGCAATTAAGGCGTCATCCACAAAGGAAGACATGGTGCTGCCTATTTCAGATATGAGAATGAAAAATAGAATGGGAGTGAGTACTGTGCCTTTTGGAGCAGACCTTTTCACTGTAGCTGCCTTGGACTCTACTGTTTACTTTTACTCTTGTGTTCTATTTGTCAGGAAGTTACAGATCCATCTACTAACTTTTCCTGTCATTCCTTTATCACGTATTTTGTGTGCTATTACACCAAGGTCACACTTGTCGAAGGCTTTTGCAAAGTTTGTATATACTACATTTCCATTTTGTTTATCCTCTATAGCATCCAGGATCTTGTCATAGTGGTCCAGTAGCTGGGACAGGCAGAGTGACCTGCTCTAAACCTGTGCTGCCCTCAGTTGTGCAACTGATGGGTATCTAGGTGATTGGCAATCTTACTTCTTAGAACCTTTCAATGTTTTTTATGATATGGGATGTTAGTGCTATCGGTATCGGTCTGTAGTTCTTTGCAATTGCTTTACTGCCACCTTTGTAGAGTGGGGCTATGTCTGTTGTTTTTAGTGAGTGTGGGACGACCATGTCCATGCTCCCTCTCCATAGAATGCTGAAGGCACATGACGAGCTTCTTGCAGTTCTTGATGAACACGGATTTCCACGAGTCTGGGCTTGGGGCAGAGTGCATGGGGCAAGTCATTTAGATTGCCAACCCTTAGTCTGATTAACGGCTTGCTGAACGCCGAGTCATATTGGGTCTTCTGTATCTCACTCATTTCTTTGCTGTCATCTGCTAAGTCATGTCTTGTTTAATCAGGGGCCCAACACTGAATGTGGTTTTTGTCCCTAGATTTGGCATAAGAAAAGTGAGCAAGATGAGCAATACATAGCAAAAGACACCAATATGTAGAAAATAATACCAACAAAGAGCAAAACTAGATCAATATAGAGCAAATAGACCAGTACAGTACAAAATAGACAAACAATGAGTGATGTAGAGGCAGGATCCATACATAGTTTTAAGAAGAGATACAATAAAGCTTATGGAGCAGGAAGAGAATGGATCTAGTAGCAACCAGCAAAGAGGTGGGGGCAGAAGCTGTGAGTCGACCCCTGCAGCCACAAACAGGCGTCTACAAACCAATAAACAGCAAGAAAGACCAAAATAGTGCAAGATAGACCAGGCCAATATATAATATACAGCAAGACACCAATATGGAGCAACATAGTATGGTAGACCAATTATTATAATTAAGGCAATCACACAGCACCTGGGGAATGGGAGGCAACAAAATTCAATCTAAAGGCAGGGGAGATGAAGTCCAATTTCCTGAATCAAGTCCCTCTCCAAAATGAACCTTCCTTCGGGGAACACGACCAATACAGAGCAAGACAGAACCAAACTCGAGCAAGACAGAACCAAACTCGAGCAAGACAGAACAAAACTCGAGCAAGACAGAACAAAACTCGAGCAAGACAGAACAAAACTCGAGCAAGACAGAACAAAACTCGAGCAAGACAGAACAAAACTCGAGCAAGACAGAACAAAACTCGAGCAAGACAGAACAAAACTCGAGCAAGACAGAACAAAACTCGAGCAAGACAGAACAAAACTCGAGCAAGACAGAACAATACAAAGCAAGATAAACCAATGAAGAGAAAGATCAATAGAGCAAGATACCGATATAGAACACGTTAGACGGACATAGAGCAAGACATGCCAATATAGAGCACGAAAGACAGATATAGAGCAAGATAGACCAATATAGAGTAAGACAGACCAATATAGAGCAGCCTGATATATAGATATATATATAATCAACATAGACCAATATAAAGGAGCCTAATATATACACACAAAATTAAGATAGAGCAATATAGAGCAGCATGGTACATATATAATGTGGTGGGTGCGTCGTCTGCTTCCCGCGCACACAATGTAAACACTGCAGAGGGGAAACCTTGACTCAGCTGTTATATCACTTACCGCAGACCATTGAACAGCTGTTTGGATTTCTCCAGCAGGTGACAGAACTCGTTGACGATCTTGCGCTCCTGGTCGTCCATGTCTGCCATGGTAGCTGTGGTGATGGTAGTGTGTGTAGGGCGGGTCACATGAAGCACACTGCAGGCACTGCTAGTCACCGTCCACGCCCTCACACCTAATATTACTTCACTCTACAGTAACTCATGTACAGGGACCACTGCATCTTGCTACACTGGTTGTTGGCACATGTTTGGCTCGAGTTTGGTTAACTCAGCTGTGTGGTGGAGAGAGGAAGTTGATTTTGCAGAGCTAGTGTTGGTGCAGTTAGATGGCGCCAAGTGGCTTATTGAAGCTTGTGTGGTGGTTCTTGTGTGTGCTTGTGCTGCCTCCCACACCTATCACTCACTCCCTCGCACACCACTAACACCATCACTATACACACATACACTCACACCACTCCAATACTACTCTAAATTCACTTATATTTCCCAGTATTAGCAATAAATCCGACTGGGATAGTTTAGGGAATTTATTGATCCACGTTTGTATTTTGAAATTTAAAAGTTGGCAGTGTAGATTTCAAGTAAGTTTATTTAGGTACAGGTACACATAAGTACAATTATCATAGTAACATATGTGTAAATTACCTAGGATAACACAAAGAAAAGTCAGACGAAGTGACTTATTTACTGTGCCCCGTGGCCTGGTGACAAAAGCTCTCGCTTTACTTTGGGGTCCAGTCCCTGGACCCATTATGTACCTCTGTAATCTTTTGACTACCGCCCACAGGATGGGTATGGGGTGCATAATAAACATATTAAACTTACGTCACACGGTGAGAGTTCGGGTTCGATTCCCGGCGAAAGGGTGGAAGCATTGGACGTGTTTCCTTATACCGGTTGTCTATGTTCACCCATCAGTAAAATGGGTACCTGGGTGTTAGTGGACTGGTGTGGGTCGCATCCTGAGACAAAACTGACCTAATCTGCCCGAAATGCTCTGCATAACAAGCGGCTTTATAGTAGTATGTCATTGATGTCAGCTAGGACTGTATACCTTGTACTTGTAGTAAATAAAGATATTATTACCTGGAGAGAGTCCCGGGGGTCAACGCCCCCGCGGCCCGGTCTGTGACCAGGCCTCATGGTGGATCAGGGCCTGATCAACCAGGCTCTTACTGCTGGCTGCACACAATCCAACGTACGAGCCATAGCCTGGCTGGTCAGGTACCGACTTTAGGTGCTTGTCCAGTGCCAGCTTGAAGACAGCCAGGGGTCTATTGGTAATCCCCCTTATGTATGCTGGGAGGCAGTTGAACAGTCTTGGGCCCCTGACACTTATTGTGTTGTCTCTTAACGTGCTAGTGACACCCCTGGTTTTCATTGGAGGGATTACATCGTCTGCCAAGTCTTTTGCTTTCGTAGAGAGAGATTTTCGTGTGCAAGTTTGGTACTAGTCCCTCTAGGATTTTCCAGGTGTATATAATCATGTATCTCTCCCGCCTGCATTCCAGGGAGTACAGGTTCAGGAACTTCAAGCACTACCGGTAATTGAGGTGCTTTATCTCCGTTTTGCGTGCTGTGAAGGTTCTCTGTGCATTTTCTAGGTCAGCAATTTCACCTGCCTTGAAAGGTGCTGTTAGTGTGTAGCAATATTCCAGGTGTGTAGCAATATTTCAAGGTCCCAGGACCGAAACGTTTTCTAATAAATATGTTATAGTGTTTGCTTACGTGTCTTTCTAAACCAGCAATATTCCAGCCTAGATAGAACAAGCGACCTGAAGAGTGTCATCATGGGCTTGGCATCCCCAGTTTTGAAGGTTCTCATTATCCATCCTGTCATTTTTCTAACAGATGCGATTGATATAATGTTATGGCCCTTGAAGGTGAGATCCTCCGACATGATCACTCCCAGGTCTTTGACGTTAGTTTCTCGCTCTATTGTGTGGCTGGAATTTGTTTTATACTCTGATGAAGTTTTAATTTCCTCATGTTTACCATATCGGAGTAGTTGAAATTTCTCATCGTTGAACTTCATATTGTTTTCTGCAGCCCATTGAAAGATTTGGTTAATGTCCGCCTGGAGCCTTGCAGTGTCTGCAATGGAAGACACTGTCATGCAGATTCGGGTGTCATCTGCAAAGGAAAACACGGTGTTGTGGCTGACACCCTTGTCTATGTCAGATATGAGGATGAGAAACAAGATGGGAGCGAGTACTGTGCCTTGCAGAACAGAGCTTTTCACCGTAGCTGCCTCAGACTTTACTCTGTTGACCACTATTCTTTGTGTTCTGTTTGTCGGGAAATTATAGATCCATCTACCAACTTTTCCTGTTATTCCTTTAGCACGCATTTTGTGCGCTATTACGCCATAGTCACACTTGTCGAAGGCTTTTGCAGTCTGTATATACATCTGCATTCTTTTTGTCTTCTAGTGCATCTAGGACCTTGTCGTAGTGATCCAGTAGTTGGGAGACAGGAGCCACCTGCTCTGAACCCATGTTGCCCTGGGTTGTGTAATTGATGGGTTTCTAGATGGATGGCGATCTTGCTTCTTAGGACCCTTTCAAAGATTTTTAAGATATGGGATGTTAGCGCTATCGGTCTGTAGTTCTTTGCTATATTGCTTTACTGCCCCCTTTGTGGAGTGGGGCTATGTCTGTTTTTAGGATGGTAAAAGCACGTGATAGGGGATTCTTGCAGTTCTTGATGAACACGGAGTTCCATGAGTCTGGCCCTGGGGCAGAGTGCATGGGTATGTCATTTATCGCCTGTTCAACGTCATTTGGCGTCAGGATAACATCAGATAGGCTTGTGTTTACCAATTTCTGTGGCTCTCTCATAAAAAAAAATCATTTAGATCTTCGACTCTCAGTCTGGTTAGCGGCTTGCTAAAAACCGAGTCATATTGGGACTTGAGTAGCTCACTCATTTCCTTGCTGTCATCTGTGTAGGACCCATCTTGTTTAAGTAGGGGTCCAATACTGGATGTTGTTCTCGACTTTGATTTGGCATAAGAAAAGAAATACTTTGGGTTTCTTTCGATTTCATATATGGCTTTTAGTTCTTCCCGCGATTCCTGACTCCTATAAGATTCCTTTAGCTTTAGTTCGATGTTTGCTGTTTTTCTGACCAGTGTCTGGAGTTTACCTGGAGAGAGTTCCGGGGGTCAACGCCCCCGCAGCCCGGTCTGTGACCAGGCCTCATGGTGGATCAGAGCCTGATCAACCAGGCTGTTACTGCTGGCTGCACGCAATCCAACGTACGAGCCACAGCCCGGCTGGTCAGGTACCGACTTTAGGTGCTTGTCCAGTGCCTGCTTGAAGACGCATTGCAGATATATTGGCCTCTTTTAGCCGCTCTGTTATTCTTTTCCGTCGCCTGTAAAGGGATCGCCTGTCTCTTTCTATTTTACATCTACTCCTCCTTTTTCTTAAAGGAATATGCCTTGAGCATACATCATAATCTGTTCTAGGCATAAGCTGGGGTCTGCTGCTTAGTCTATCTTCCCAGCTTATATCGTTTAAGACTTGGTTTACTTGGTCCCACTTTATGTTCTTGTTATTGAAGTTGAATTTGGTGAAGGCTCGCTCGTGACTGATCCCATTATGTCGGTCTGGGGCTCCGTGCATACATGTCTGAACCTCGATTATGTTGTGATCCGAGTATATTGTTTTTGATATGGTGACATTTCGTATCAGATCATCATTGTTAGTGAAGATGAGGTCCAGTGTATTCTTCAGTCTAGTAGGCTCTATTATTTGCTGGTTTAAGTTGAATTTTGTGCAGAGATTTAAAAGCTCGTGTGTGTGTGTGAGTTCTCGTCTGAGTTGCCTCCTGGTGTTATCACTGCAACAACATTTGCTATATTCCTCCATTTTAGGTGCCTTAAGTTGAAATCCCACAGGAGCAAGATGTTCGGGGCAGGAGCTGGCAGATTTTCCAGACAGTGGTCAATTTTCAACAGCTGTTCCTGGAATTGCTGGGACGTTGCATCCGGAGGCTTGTAGACTACCACAATGACTAGATTTTGGTTCTCGATCTTTACTGCTAAAACTTCAACTGCATTATTTGAAGCATTAAGCAGTTCTGTGCAAATAAGTGACTGCGATATACAGGCTAACCCCCGTACCCCCCGTTTTGCCTGTTCACTCTGTCGCATCTGTATAGGTTGTAACTTGGGATCCATATTTCGTTAACCATACCCCCGGCCGGGATTGAACCCGCGGTCATAGAGTCTCAAAACTCCAGTCCGTCGCGTTAGCCACTAGTCCAGCTAGCCACAATAAAATTCATCCAACTAGGTATATTTCTACACAGTGGTCACAGTGGTGCCTGTGCTAACCTTCCTATGGTGTAGAAATATACCTAGTTGGATGAATCTTATTGTGGCTAGCTGGTCTCGTGGCTAACGCGACGGGCTGGAGTTTCGAGACTCTATGACCGCGGGTTCAATCCCGGCCTGGGGTATGGTTTGTTTGCAATCATGTCATTACGATTTCTTGAGTCATATTTCGTTGTCCAAGTGATCCTTTATGTGGGTCTCTGTGAAAGCCGCAAACATTGCATTTGCCTTTGCAAGCAGTCCACGGATGAAAGGTATTTTGTTCGTTGCTGGCTTTAGACCCTGTATATTTGCAAAGAAGAATGTCGTTGGATTGGTGGTACTGGGGGGACTTTTTTTTCCGGCACTGATATCTGTATCTGTTGGTTTGGAGTGGAGGCCATCGACTGTGATTCCACTCCAGAAATGACTGGATTTGGTGTACGATTTCTGCCATTTCCTGCCATTTTTTTTCCTTCCTGGCACTTAAAAACCTCTCCCTATTTGAGTGGCTGTGGCTACCCAGGTTTTCCCATTATCTGGATGTTTTGTATCTTTTTGTCCCCTTTAGATGGTGTGCCTGACAATTTAAGTTATAGCACTATCTTTCCTGTACTGAAGAGGGATACATTTCAGGGTGAAAAAGCTTACAGGAAGGGAAACTGCATTTTCCTGTTGTCATATGGGTACGGCATTTTCTAGGGTGGTCGAAGTTGTACGTCCCATCTGTTTTTCCAGATTTCCCATATCTGCAGATACCAAGTGCATAATACGTGCACAGGCTTGGTTTCCGTTTGCCTTGGATTTTTGTGACTGTATTCCCTGTTGGTGTATGTTTTCCTGTCTCACTCCTATCCTCACTAGTACTAACAATGGAGCTCTCACCAGTTGATTCTGGTAATATATCCTCACTATTACTAATGGAGTCCCCTTGTTTGTTATCTCCTGTGGTATTACTAATTTGTAATAATTGTTTTATCTTGTTTCCTCACTACAGCTCCTGTCTTCCTCGAGGCCACTAATATGCATTCCTGCGTGCATACAGTTACTGTCTACCAGGACAGCACCTCCAGCCTTACAGTTTCTGACTACATGGCCAGCACCTCCATTCATACAGTTACTGTCGGCCAGGACAGCATCCGCACCAAGGGCGATAGCATCA